AAATAAGATATCCTGTTAGACTCAATCATAGTGTAGCTATCAACCAAGAATTGTTGAAATAATCTTCTTGATCTTAGAAGAATTCCTGACTCTTTCAGTCTTTCTTGAATACGGAATGCAAAGAATTGACGCATACTAATATCTTTCTTCTTAGATTTCTGAGAAGCTTTTGAAGCACCCTTTTGAATCTTTAGCCTAAAACCATCCTCTCCATAGGGAAATATCAAATGATATTGTAGTGGCAGATAAGAAGGACATATTTCACTTATACGTTTAAGCCTCCCACAATGTCGTTAAAGAACAATATCCCTTTTATCCATTTCCATATTGAAATCCCCTGGAATGATTGCAGCTACTTCTGAAACTGTTGGCCTGTTGTAGATTCTACCTTCTTTTTCTCGGTCAGTAACAATCCTCAAATGGAAACTTTTCTTTGGATCAGTGTCAAATCTTTCTCTTGCAGTCCTAAATTTAGCTACATATGGGTTCACGTCGTTTAACATCTTTATAATTGCCTCAATGATTGCCTTCCTGAGTTGATTTTTCTTAGTCGGCTTAGTTGCATTCTTAGATTTGCTGTAATGTAGTCATTAAAAATAAAACATTATATTAAGAACTAAAACACGTTATTAATGACCCAAAAATAAATGAAAACAAAATAATTTGCAAAGTTATTAAGTTTACCTGAGAATATTAGCACTATTATCAACCTCATTGTCTGTATCAACTATACATAGCTGATAGAATTTAGCATACTCTCCATGTTTAGGTAGCATACTACCAATTAAGTGGTAGTTCTCACCTTGCATCTTGAATATTTGAGGTCATTTACCGTTTTTAACAAAGCGATCAACTCTACCACCAATTGATGTCATAAAGAAAATCATGTTATAAGCCCTAACATTCTTCTGAAAATGTCTGCTTATATCATCGTCTGATGTTAGCAAATGTTTCAACAAAGGGGGAAATTCTTTAAGTTGAGGAAGAACAACTTGTCCTTGTAGACAACACAATGTGAATGTTGGGCTTCTTGAATATTTTTTTTGTTGATACGCTCGCCATACCAGAAAATAGTATCACAGTGTTGACAACTGAATATAGGATCACCTTCGTCATTATATTCTTTAGTTGAAGATTTCGAAATTTTTTAAGGTTATTTATTTGTGAATAAAGACTCTAAAAATAAATGAAAACGATTGTATATAATCTTTTAATTTAAAACAACTGTACCATTATCTTGTTTAGCATTGGAGAGCATTAATTTGAGTAGCCTTGCCATTTTCTGTATCTTAATACACTCCAACTCTGATTCTGATAATTTATTGGAAACTAAAAGTTCATCAGTTTCTTCATAATCTTTGGAATCTGTATCATCTTGGCTACTACAGTCAAAGTCCTGTTCATAATCTTCATCATCAGAATCTGTGTGAACAAAAATTATCTTATTAGTTAAGTGATTTGTTTGTTAAATCTAATAGATTAGTATACTTGTATTATTTTATACAATACGCATATGTTAAAAATAAATAAACCTTCAGAGGAATAATGATGTTGTCTCTCACACGGTCTTGTGATATCTGATTGTAGGTCTTCTGTAAGCACGCCATGGGTTGGATCAGGTGTCTTCGAAGATGAAGCAATGAATGTTATTTCTTCGGTATAAAGAGAGGTATGAATATCTTCAGACATAGTTGTTTCCGTTGCTGTTGAGGAACAATTTCTTTGAAATGCGTGTGTAGATGCATCTCCATGAAACCTATTCTCAAATGCTAAAAAGAAGAACTTTCATAGAAACTTTAGTAGTATAGAATGATATCACTGGAATCATCTTAAGGGCACTTAAAAAAGACTCGTTTAATAAAATGTGGTGGTAGAAAACTTACATGAATTATGAACGTTGAACGTATTTGATTTTGGTTCCTGAGAACTATTGTAACGTAATTCTGCATTGCACAAACACATTCATCACGTATTAAAACGTTTGATCTAACACACTGAATATTTTTATGTTTTTCATTACAAAATCCTATGCAATAATTCTAACCTGATGATATTCCTCTTGTAGGTATCTCCTTGCTCCTACCAACTCTACGTTTAGACTCACGTCTATTTTACAAAGGTATGTTTGATAGATCATTAAAGACTCCATCAAAAACTGCTGAATTTTGTCGGACCCTAAGATTAGATTGAACATCCTCTGGAACATTATCGTATTTATTCTCATTTGTAGTTCTCTTTCTCTTCTGTTTAGAATTTGCTTGAGTACTTCTGTTGTCAATATCAGCTTTAGTCTCCTTCATCCTGAAACATGAAGTTATAGAATGAAAGAAGTATTGATGTCTCTGCTTTTTAGATGCATTTCCGAAACACAGACATATTAGTAAAATCCACAAGTTTTGTTTTTATTTTATAAATTCGGCATTTCAGAGTAATACTTATACTAACAAATCTAATTAGTCTGAAATAACGAAATCTTGTTAACGTAGAATCTATAATGAATAGAATAAAACCTTAACGAATAAGTTTGATAATATATGTTAACTAAGTTTAAATTGAATATTAAAATATCAGTATATTTGATTTAAATTTAAAGATAAACTAATTTTGTGTCATATACTGTTTAGTTTCAGTTGAATAAAGAAGTCACATTTAGGATCATAAAAGTGATTCTTCAGTACATATCTCGGCAATAAGGTTAGTAGAATATTTGTTTTGTATATAGTTTTTAAAGTACTAAGTTAGCAAAATAATTATTTTTAAGTTAATTTCATCTAAACTGTAAAAATGAATTACAAATATAAATAGTGAATTATATGATAATAGACCTGAATATGGAAATGAAACCACTCACAAAATGTAATTCATTTTAGAAAAATTAAGATAGAGTATATAAAACAGCATACGAAATTCAAATAACAAAAGATATTGTCCGAAATGAGAAATTTAAACAAAAGTTCATAAAACTAAAATGAAAAACAAATCACACAGGATCCAATTGAACGTAGAGTTGACTCCAGCAATAGTTTTCCCCATCTTCTCCTCTTTTAATCAATCTCAATGGGTGTGTTTACCCTGATATTTAAGTACAAAAAATGATTCAATTAATAAGTATTTATGTATTAATTGAAAAAAATATTGATAGTATCTTGAGACATTAATAAAAAACTTATATGTTTTCTTTAAATTCAAACACATCTTCAATTTCGAGATCGAAGTAAAAGCGAGACACTCCTCTTTCATCCATCAGTTGTGAATTCCCTGTTTTAAAAATATTGACTGAATTAAATTTATGATACGTTTCATGAAACTTTCAATTCATTAAAATTATTTAGTCTTAGTAAAGGTTGACATTTACTTTCAACAGTAACAGGATGCCAATTTGATAACACACAAACAACTTTAGTGTCGTAGAGACAATACCAATGCTGATTAAAATCCTCAGCCAATTTCCCAAATGCCACACATTGTATTGAGTCATCACTGCGAAGATACAAAATTAGATGTTAAGTAAAAAATTCATAGATCAACCAAATTAGGAAAAAAATAGGATAACCTTACTCGTTATTGACAATGGTGAACCTTAGACGACATATTTTTTTAGGAGACTCAGGTGAAAACAGATCATCATGGACTAACTCAAGTTCTCCAACGGTTGCAACTTTTCCAATAACATCTAAATTAAAAATTGAAACCAGATTATGATCATTCTCAAGTTAGAAAAATTATAAAATAGGAAGAGTTTTAGATATTTACCAACTAAAAGGTTTAGAGGTATATGCTGGTTGAAAAGATTATCAAAGCTTTTGAAATTCATGAAGTGGTCTTCAATATCAAACTTACTTCTTTTTACCTCTGTGTTCTCAAGAAAACTGATTTCCTCAAGAAAACGTTGAAGGTTAGGAACCCTTATGACAGTAAAATTGTAGATCTTCTTCCACTCTCCTTCTTGCATTTTTCGGTCAAAATATGGTATCAACCACTCCCAATTGATGTAACCATGGATCTTTTCACACTACATACATGTTTAGAAATTATAAAACTAAGTTAATAAACACATAAATTGAGTTGAGTCTACGAAAATATTTTTAATTTGAAAATCTAAAAAGGAAGTTGATACATATTCAAAACTCTACTTACACGTTCATCAACCAATATAAAATGAAAAGACTCAACTCCATCTTGATCAATGGTAAGCCACTTCCTATGAACTTTCACCCGCATAACCCAATCGGACTTCCAAGGATGAAGATCTTTAATTTTGTCAAAGATAAAATTCATGCTTTTAGATATTAGATAGTTGTTTGGAAGTGAAGAGGTTTTGTTTAATCTTACAAAGGAACATGATGTTGTTTATATAGTGAGATGCTCTGTATAGGTTACGAGAATAGATTCAATGCATTTTCAAAAATTATTAACTAAATTTAAGTTTTGTTATGAATGCTATTAGTATTAACTATTATTCTTTGTGTCAGATTTGTAGGTGCAGGTACGAAAAAGGAGAAATAGGAAAAGACAACACAAAGAGATAGCATCGGTAAGTTTCAATAATATATTTTTTTCAGAAACTTTTCAGAAATTTTCTCTCGGAAAGATTGCGATTTGACAAAAAGTTTTAGATATCGGAAACTTCAGTCATTGGTCCCATCTTTTTTGAAAGTCTTATCTTCAAAGATATATTTAGGTTATTGGGCTACTTATAAGTTTGTTTACGAAGGTAATATGTGAGCTTCATCGCTCTTTGACGTGGATTTAAGAATAACCCATAGAAAATGAATTATTATTAGTAAAATATGTAAAACTCAACCTTAAGTAAAAGTAAAGCGCAATAGAGTTATTTCGTGACTAAAAAAGTCCATAGAAAATGTATAGTTACCAAAGATCTTTTATTAAATTGAATTAATTGAAACGCATTATTCAAATTTAAAAAATGTTTGAAAAAAGCTTGAAATCAAGATTCAGAGTAACAACCACTTTGGTAGAAACTTTAGAATATCCATGTTTTAGGGACCGGCTTTGTCCTCTTCTTTAAATGAAGCTTCAACGTCTATGTCTTTTGCAGCATTTTTCGATCCAATAATCATTAAACTTTTCTTTGACTGTATCATCTTTTCCAGCTTGATATCGTGTGTCTTAGGCTCAGCTTTAGCTTTGTTTGCTATCTCTTTGTATAGCTCAACCATAAGCCTCTCATCTTTTGTTGTTGACTCGTAATCATTGATCTTTTCCAGCTTGATGGACTTGGTGCACAGCTTCATCGATGTTGATGAAAGATCAGGTAATTCTTCAAACTCTTCAAAAGATCTCTTCGAAGAAGGTGCTGTGCTCACATTTGAATTTCCACCACTGCTACTATTAATTATGAAAACCTAAAGTAACCACAACTTAGTTAGAAGCTGATAAATATTGACGGGATAATTAACTTAGTCCAAATACGCAGATCCAAAATTCTAAAAAAATTCGTAAAACCACATTTTCTCTATTTTATCATGTTTGGTCTAGTAAAATTCTCAAAAAGTTTGTACAACAATAATAAAAAATAAGTCAAAACATAATTAAAAATGACGATTATGATTAGCTTAAAAATGATTACCTCGTCACCAGAAACAATTGTGGAGAAATTGTCAACTTGTGTTAGAGTGTCCAAGGAAGTATCTGTTGGTATAGTTAGATCATTTCCAGACCAAACATTCCCAACCTTATAGGTCTTTAAACCATAGTACAGGTTTTCTTTCACAACAAAGACAATAAACTGAAAAGTATTTCCCACTAAATTCTTTATAGGCTGAGGGAAAGCTTCTGTATCGACCATCTGATAAAAAAACACGTACTGCATTAAAATAATCTTTTTGTAAACATCGTAAACAAACTATATTAATCTAATTAATGAATTACCTCTTCAAAAGAACCCCCAAGTAGATCAGTTGCTAAAACCGGCATGATGATATTCGCAATCTTGTCAAGAAGCATCACTTTTGTTTTTGCAGTTTGATCCATAACCATAAAATGGAGCTTAAACCTTTATTTAAGAATGCTAAAAAACTTAAGTATTACATACATATATCTGAAGAGGATAATTTGTTTAACCGTGTCAAGAATTGATCAAACGTTACAGAAACTTTAGTGATGACTTCGTCACAAGTTTTACACCACCAAGTTGGTGCATTTATTCACACTGTGGTTCATGCGTGTTTTTTAGACGTTTTTCAACCTTTCGGTTACATTTCACACAACCAAAATAATACCAACCCCAGTCGATATCAATGGCATAGTTAGTACACACTATCTTCCATTTCTCAATCTGTAAAAAACATTAAGTCTATTGTTTAAACAAAAAAAATCGTAAGTCGTAAAATCTCATTTCGGAACTTTTACCTCTATAGCAGTGAGTAGCTCCTCAATGTTTTTTTGTGGCAATTGTGCCCACAATCTTTCTTTTTAACCAATTCAGAATCTTCATCTTTAGGTTCTTGAATTGTGAGAGCAAGACCATCATCTGGCAGTATGTACAAAATGTAAAGATAAGTTTTTAATATCTATAAAGAAAATGTTTTAGAGATATATGTGATTTTGTTTGACATAATTCATAGTTATCACATTATTTAAGACTTACGATTTTTGAAATTCTTCTACCTCAGGAATCGCAGGATTGATGAATAATTTAGTTGTGTAAAAGGCATTTGTGATCTGAAGCTTTCCTGAGAAAATAACAATTTCAGCACTGGAATCATGTTATCCACGGTCTAACTAATTGAAGGTAATTCATGAACTCTAAACTTATACCTCTGTAGGAATTTATTTTAGCAAATCTGATTAGGCATATCACCGTTTCACCATTGGCATCTTGGCAACTGTCAAAAAGTTCCTCTTGGTGTTTTTGCCACAGACAACATGGCATACGCTCATCACTGCATAATTATAACATTTAAACAGAAAAATTAAAATTAAAATTATAGACATCAAAGACTTAGTAATTTAAAACTAATTATGATTTTACTTAGTATCTCTGAGCTCAAACTCAATCTTTTTCCTCTCTTTTCCATTAACTTGCACACCTTGGAGATCTTTGACGTCAACAACCTGACCAATTACATCTGAAATTCAAAAACAAATTATAATTATGAAACATAGCAGAAACGTAAAAAAAAAACACTATGTTATAATGTAGAATACTCACCAACCAAGAAACTGTGATTAAGTGAACCGCTTAAAATGGTATCAAAATCCACGAGATTGATGAAATCTCCTGGTTTCTTCACATTACACTTACTGATAGATGTGTTATCTGTAAAATACATCTTGTAAGTGTGTTTTGTTGGTCTGTACTGGCCAGATCTGGAATTAATAATTCGTCTTTCATTCTTAAATATTAACATCTTACATATTCATCAGCGAGAATAAGCTCCAATGATCCACCGGATTGTGCAGTGTATTGCTTCCAAGAATGTACGATTTTGACTCGGACTCTCCATCCTGTTTTGAAAGGCTTAACGTCGGACAGGTTAGTAAAACCAATGAGAGAATTCATATTTTTTTGCTAAGAGAGACGTTCCATTTAGGATGCTTTGTGTTTTGAGAATGAGTTATATAGCTAAGTCGAAGTTTGTATTTATAGGGGAAATGATTAATTAGATTTGTTACAATTTTAAGTGTAGAAAATATATGGAAGATCTGAGATATTCTTAGATATTGGCAAATAGTTTGTGTAAAAAATATATTTAGTTAAGAATATAGAATATTGATGGTAGATTTTACGCAATATTAGGATCAACAAAATATAGTTTACGGAATGATATAATATACCGAATGGCAAAGATTTTTTTTATTCTATGCTAAAAGATATAGTTTCAAAGAAAATCTTGTTAAATAAAAATAGTACTTTTAGTTACGTAAAGAAGGTGTTCTTGTTTATTTAGTTACGTAAAGAAGGTGTTCTTGTTTATATTTGAAGTATCAATTTTAAAAAGATTTGGATTTTGATTGTATTTATCTTCGCAATAAGTATTTGACATGATTAAAAGAGTTCATATCAAAATCGCATTGATAACATATGGTTTGATATTCTTCATGATAAGTTATTAGTTACAATTGATTAGAACCATGTAATGTATGTTTTTGGTTATAGGACTTTGCAAAACAATCAAAGATAATGTATTAGAAGAAGTAGTACCAAAGAGTGTATATGTTAAGTAATGTTTTGTTTGTTATTTGTTGATGGATGCAGGTACAAAATGTTTCAACTTTGGTAGAAAGGAAAATGTAATATTTGCACCACCAAAATTGAACTATTTAGCAAGTTTTAAAAAAATGATTGTAATTTTTTATAACAGAAATTCGTATATATTTAAGTAAATATAGATATTAACTTTCTTAGATTTTGGTCTAGTTCGATTGTTAGGATCTGATAACATGATTTATACATAAAATTTGTATTTATTCATTAATGGCAAATATTGTAATAAATATGTTAACTAAAGATTAATTTAAAAATATGATCCTTTTTTAATAGTATAGATGTACACAAAGTTTGAGACTCATTCTAATTCTCCACCAAATAAAAGTTACAGATCTAAGTGCACACAAAATAAAAAAAAATTAAACCAAATTACACACATAATAAAGTTCGAAACCGAATTGTACACATATTTGAAATTTGTTGGCTACTGTTTGAAAATCAATTATAAACTGATCAAACCGGATTCTAAACCAAATTAAACTTAATTTTGACCAAATTCAACCCAAAAAACACTGACCCATAAATGACCCGACCCGACCCGACCTTCTTCTTCATCAATTTTTTTAGGTTTAGCCAAAATATCAGGTTGTTAACCACCAATTACATACATATAATGGCAAACAGAGTCGAGTGCGTTAGTATATTGAATCATATTAAAAGATTTTAAATTTAAAGCGCAGCTATATCAATTTGTAAAATTATGAACTATGAATTTGTAAGAGGATTCAAAATGTAAGCAAAGCATCTCAATTCTCAAGATGAACAAAAATATTCAGACACAGAATTCAAAACTTACACAGAATTTGAAACTTACCCAGAATTTGAAACTTACCCAGAATTAAGATTTAATAGATTTCACAGAATTTAGATTTCACAGATTCCATTGTTAAAGAAACTTACCCATAATTATTGATTGAATTTACCTTGTTTAAATCACCAGTAATCACAGAATTGATTTAAACTTTGCTTCTTGATTTTATCTCATTGCCTAGAGAATCAAATTTAAACCATCTCCACATTGCTGAGGAATTCACAAATCACCAAAGCACTAATCAAAATAAATCCAGAAAATATAAGAGACAAATCTAGTTTCTTGTGAGAATCCATGTGTAAGTGATTTCGTTCTGGAACCTTAATTTGTTTTAGTTTAGATGGATCGAAATCTATGGTACCATTAAGCTTATTGAAATTGGAAAACATGGGAGAATTGTGAATCCGAACGTGATTATAAGAGAAGAAGAAGCAGAAAAACAATGCTGAAAAAGCCAATGACGAACCCATCACAGACTTGGATTAGGTCTCCTATTTTATTCTCAGCCAAGCATTCATCATCAATCTTTTCCACATTATATGTCGGGTAAAGAAGAAAAAGGAGGTCGGGTCGGATCATTTCGGTATTTTTGGTTCAGTTTTTGTTGAAATCGAGTTTACTTTGGTTTAAAGTCGAGTATGATTGGTTTATGTTTGGTTTTCAAGCAGCAAACAAAAAAACAAATTGAAATCTGGGTAATTTGGTTTATTTTATTTTGCAATTAGATCTGTAATTTTTATGAGACATTAACAAAAAAGAGCACTTTATAAAGTTTTTTTACAAGAAAGAGTATTTTCTTCAACTAGGGTAGCTTTTTTTGTCTTTTTTTTTACTCTTTTGTCTACTATACCTTTTGTAAAATTACCATTCTTTTTTTTGCCATTCTTCATATTTACAGATCTATGACAGTAAAATGATATCCAAATGTGGATAAGTATTCGTGGACATCAATATATAATAGGATACAATAAGTTTTAATACATTTACAATGTATTGTTTATTCATCATTGTATGTTCATTCATAGTAGCATGTCCATAAATGGGCATCCATGTATAACTAAGTATAAATAAATAGACTGATTATCGTCTATACTATCATGTCTATATATGGGACATCTATGCAAAATTGGGTGATTAACATACACTCCTTCAACTGCCCTATCACTGGTTCAAAAGAGTGCTTGGACAATAGATATTAGTTTGATGGACATTATCCATTATAACAATTCTATGTATATATCCAAGCATGGATGGGTGTTGAAATCAACATATAGCAGCCTACCATGAATTCTAAGGCATTTACAATTGAATATGTGATTTGATATTATTTACGTGGATGGACTTATATGGATATGAGATAATGGACGATGTATAATTGTGTATTAACAGATGTGGATCCACGTGGACTAAATAGTAGTAGTGTAATATTACAGAGTTTTCTATGAATATATGTACGTAATAATCCATGAATAACCGTACATCGATGGTTTTGAATATTTTGATAGATTTTAGAATTTTTCAACTCATCCACATGTGATTGTCCATGAGTATCGTGTGGATAGTGTTATGTATGTAGTTAAGCTTTTGCGAGAGAGAGAGAGAGAGAGAGAGAGAGAGAGAGAGAGAGAGAGAGAGAGAGAGAGAGAGAGAGAGAGAGAGAGAGAGGGTATAATAGACTTTTTTCATGGTAAAAGTACCCATGTTGAAGGAAGTACTTTTTCTTGATATTATACTTCTATAAAGTACTCTTTTTGTAATATCTACAACTTTTATTTGGTGGAGAAAATAGTTAGTTCTGAGGAGAAAATAGCTCGTCAACCCAAAAGTTTTTTTAACAGTTTCTTAAAATTAAAAAAATTATTCCCTCTATTTCAAAATAAGTGTTATTTTGACATTTTTCACACAAATTAAGAAAAACAATAAAAATTCTGTTTTATACTTTGTTCACATACAAAATAACATTCTCTTTCTAATTAATACATTAATATAACAAAGTTAAAACAAGATTTTTGTTTTTCAAAATTGCATTGGAAATACAAAACGATACTTTTTATGAAACAAAAATAAAACTCTAAAACAACACTTATTTTGAAACAGAGGGAGCAATAAATAATTGAGGTATGCACTTGTTTCTTAAGAGTCGATTATTAATTAACAACTTTTAGAACTGATAGAATCTCTTACGTGTCAATTTGTGGTTGAATGGTTAATTTTAACCCAAAAAAAAACAATCTTCTCTTCTCTCTATCGATCTCTCAAAACAAGAGATTTGTGGATGATCGGAAATTTTGGGTTTTTGATTTTTATCGATATCTCCGGAAAAGAACTCTTCAAGCTATCGATTCCTTCACAGAGTTAGTGATTTTCGAAGCTTTTTCTTCATGGGTTCGGCTTCGATTGGGTATCAATTCAGATTCTCAGCTTGATTTGACGGGAACTTTAATCTGAGGTGGGATATTACTGTCTCCTGGCGTCCATGTAAAGTTGATATCTCCAGAAAGAGTTTCTTCTCAGCTGCAAGCTCCACTCACAAGGTACGGCTTCTCTGATTGCATAGTTTCTCTTTATCTCACTTATGCCAATAACACCAAAGTGGCAAACTTTTAATCAAGTTCGTATTTTGCTTCGCATCTGGCTCACGAGCATCAGCTCGGTACAATGTAAATAAAGCCAAGTATTTTCAAAAAAATACCCACGAATTGAGAAAGAGGATCAAGAGGAGCCAGAGCTAGCTCCAATGGAGAGAAGTGATTCCGGCGATGGAGATGTACGAACTCGAAACCCCTCTTTTGTTTTTTTCCGTTTTATAAATCATGAATTTTGCTAATGATTATGCATGGATTCACTCAAGCTCTTGTTTTTAAAAGTTTGGTTGTGATTTTGATTTCATTAATATGATTACTGGTTCACGAGTTTTGAAGCCTCGGTGGAGTATTTTTAGTGGTGGTGGTAGAGTAGGATCAATGGCTGAAATGCCATTATTTCTCAAAATTCAATCTCATATGCCATCGTTATGTTTTTAATTTTTTTTTAATTTTTTTTAAATCAAAACGCATGAAATGCCTTTAAAACCCTTAACAAATTAGAGAAATTACATACCCAACCTAAAATTATCCACCAAACCCACTAACCCGATTAAATAAAATAGATCATAAATTTCTAATTTTTCTCATTCTTCTTCATCGAGCGAGCATCTTCCTTCTTTATCTGAGTAAAAGAGAGCATTTTTCATTAATCCCAAAAAAATGTTGTTGATCTGGGTTAGAAATTTATTTTTAATTCAAGTTGTTCTAATAAAGAAGGATGTTCAATTTGGTTTCCATGACATCTGATGAAAAGGTAAAAACTGTGTTTTGTCTATATGATCTAAGATTTGAATTTGTTTCTACAAGGATGGTGATTCCAAATCGAGATTGGGTGTTATAGCTGCTGCTGGTGTCTCTGTTCACTGAAGTTTGGGGTTTATAGATTGTTGGTCCGAGATCACTACTTTATAAATTGTTGGCCT